GTTTCCCAGTGAAGGCTTTAAATTATCTCCTTAATGATCTCACCTCTTTTACATTAGGGACTTATTTCCACAAAACTCATATATATTTTTATGAAAATATACTTTTTTTTTCTGAACATTTAATGTGTTGTGTTAGGAGTTTCCTCAGAGGAAAGAAAGAAGTCTATCTTCATTAACCACTAAATATAATGTGCAGAAATTAAAGCATTCATATGTCATGTCAGCTATATAGATTGTCTTATATGATGTCACATTTGATTTTCTATTTTTATGACTTTGACAGGATCATATTAAAAAGTTGATTGCACAATGACAGCTCAGGCTTTGAATTATTCAGCTTTTGAGTGTACTCTTGCAGAAAGACTGTTTTGTATTTCTTGCCACTTCTGAAAAACTGACATTTAAAAAAATGTAAAAAGAAAGGGAAAATGCTTACTAATAACTAATTAATAACTCAAGTTTGGCAAAGGTAACCTCTTTTAATAGAATATCAGACAAATTAAAACCAGATTAAATATAACATGTAGCGTATTTCAAAATCACTTGAAACATTACTCTCAGGATGACATCTTAGCCTCAGAGAAATAGATTCCAATTCATTTTCAGTGAAGCCAGGACTTCCTTCTAACTGAAGAAAACCCATACATTTCTAATCTCGTTTTAGTAACTATCACTGTAAATTCTTGTGGTACTTAGTTGAATTACTCATCCCTTTTCTTAGAATATGCTCAAGCTACTAATGGTCACTGAAGCCAATGGGGCTTTTTCCATTTGCCCCCTCAGAGGGAGTCTAACCCTTAAAGCTGGAGTCTCTTGGGTAATTTTTGAATAGTCTTTCAGGCTTTCTACTGTATTTTTTCCTGTGATGACAGGTTTCTGCCAGCTTTCTTTTTTGTTCCATTTTACCTTGGTCTAGTGTTAAATAAGTGCAATCTCTTGGTTCATTTGTATCAAATAACTCCAGTTGTAACCCTCTTCAGTGTCCAAATTTGTCTTTTCTTCATTACAACTTAAGGTTATTTTTAAATCACTAAGGATATTTTTAAATCACTAAAGATGGAAACATCTACTTTCCCACTTGATTAAATTTATCTAGTCCTTTCATATCAGAACTTTAAAACAAATAATGTCATTTTAAGGAACATGCTGTTCCCAACCCCTAATATGAGATATTAATGGTATCAGATATGAAAATATCATTCAAAGTCAAAACTTTTTTCCAGTAAATATGACTACTATTTGGTCACAATAAAACTGTCCCTAGCAATATATATATTATTCTTTCTCAAAAGAATCATCTCAGCTGAGCTGTCTGGGCAGGTAAGAACCACAGGCCTGAGTACTGCTTGGAAGGGTAAGTGTGGAATATTCCATACCAGACACAAAATAAATCCTTCCAGCTGTGGCAATGGGGAAAAATACAAATGATCTTTTCATGTCCTGGTTCCTCAAAAATGGTTAGCAGAGATATCTTTGATTCTGCTCACAGAAGTGCCTTGAGAGAATCTCATACTGCTTTTGCTGAGATCAGAATCATGACCCCAGTTATACTAAGAAATGTGCTTGCATTTCCTCAGAATTATCTGATGTTTATTCAAGACTTCAGTGCATCATTAAATATATACATTTTGCTGGTCTTCACCTCTCTTCCAGTATTTCTATATTCCAACTCGAAGATAACAAGAGTGCCTGTTTTCATTATAAGCAATGAAAATTAGTTACAGATCACTTACACCACATCATTTTAGTTCACCTATTTAACCTGAACCTATCTCGTTTCAATACATGATTCACCCTGGGATAGCAATTTTTCATTCTTAAATGAACAGTTACACATTCATGTTGCTTTCCTAATGATAAGCCAACCTTATTTCAAATGTATGAGTGAAAACAAGATACCTCAATTCAATAACGTTTCATTCTGCAGTATCAATATCAGTCTGCACATATTCTGATAGAAATAAAAATGCAGGAACTACCAGGACAGAATCTTGTGTCCTTATCATTTACTCAATCTCTACCCAAGCAAACTCTGGTCAAAGACTTGGTCAAATGGTACCTATACAAGCGTAGAGTAAAAACTGCAAAGTAATATAGCCCTTTACCAATTTCACGTGTTTTTAACATCCATCCTCCTCAAAGGTTTAAGGGTTTAAACTTTTCAAAAAACTGACTAAACTGAAAACAAAATCAGTGTGTTTCCCTTACAACTATAGGTGTTTTGACTGAGAACAGGTTGACCATTAAAGGTGACAGAGAAACTTACTTCCTCAATAACCTTTGAATCTTATTGTTTCAGCCTACCACCAGCTGTGGCAGGTAAGATATGCTGAAACCATTCTGATGAGTCTCATACAGATTCCTCTCTGTATCACAGGAAGGAAACTCATCACCCTGTACCGAAAATTAGATCTACAGAATTGCTAGGTTTCCCTTTTTGCAAATGATGTGTATTCCTTGTATGTGAGATACTTTGAATCCCTTTACCCGGTGTAGTGCAGGATTAAGGAATCCTCTGTAAGTCAGAAAAAAATACTATGAAAAGGTAGAGATGAAACACATGAAAAAAACCCACGAGGTAAAACTGAGGAAAAATCCCAACAAAATTTAACAAAAAGCAGGAATTGTGGAGGAAAAAAAAAAAAAAAGACATTTTCCAGTCATAAGTGTTATCATAGCACCAGCTTCTGGAGAAGAGAGTGAAGATTTAGTGTGAATCTTATGTTCATACTTGTTGGTTATTTGCCTTTTTTTTTTTTAATTTAGACAGTTTCCGGGTCTTTAACATTACTGTGTGCTAGAGATATAGAATAAAAGAAGCAGGGAGCGCTGCTGCCATAACAACGCTTCGACAGGGAACTATTGGGATACAGATAGTTACTATACTAGCTACCATCAGCAGTCTGTATCATGACACATAAAAACCAGAAACCCCTTTTCAGCCACAGCATCCCGTCATTCGCACTCTGGGCAGGGAAAGCAGAACAAGCAGAGACTTCTAGTCCCCTACCGCCACTTTATTTATTTAATTATTTACTGGGGGGAGCGTTACAAAAGTCCATTTGAGCGCTGAGTCTTGGTCGAAGCCGCCCCCGTTTCCCTCGGGAAGGGCCGCGCTCCACCGCACCCGGCAGCCCCGGGAGGGAGACCGGGGCTATCCACCACCTCCCTCTGGGGAGACTCAGGGGAAGTCGCCAGTTCTGCTGAGCTGGGTCCTCCCTCTCCACCTTCCAATAGTCCCTTGCACAAGTTAAGGCGCTGCCCCCGCCCCGAGCCGCCCCTGGCGCCGGGGAGTATGGGCGATGCGGTTCAGGGGGTCTCCTGGCTCCGACTGGGGAGCGCGGCTGTCGGAGTGTCTATGTTATGCTTCAATGCGTGTCCGAGATCCCTGTGGGAATGGGCAGCAGCTCCCAGGAGGGGCGGCAGCGCGGGAGCTCCTTTCCCCGCATCCCGGCGGATCCGCCAGGACACCCCAGCCACCCCCCACCCGCGGAGAGGGCGCGATCGCGGGTCGCGACCCTCTGTTCCCGGGAGGGAAGGGGGGGGGGCGGGTGCGGTGCCCCCCTCCGCGACCCCCCTCCCCCCGACTCCTCCGCTCCCCCCGCGCTCATCCCCGAGGCCGCTCCGGGACGGGGGGCGCGGGAGCAGGAAGCGGGGGGATGCACGGCAGGTGCTTTTCGGGGTGGGGGCGCAGGGCCCGGTGACTCACCCGTCCGAGGCGGGGGCTGCGGGCGGCGCGGCGGCAGCGCTGCCCCTGGAGTGCGGGGGGCGGCGGGGCAGGAGCAGCAGCGGGCGCGGGAGCAGGGGGGAGCGGCGGGGCCCGGGCTGCTCCTGGGCGCGCTCTCGCTGCCCATCCCCGGCGCTGCCGCCGTCGCCGCCGCCGGAGGAGGATGCGAGGGAGAGTCAGCCCCGGGCGCGGGCACGCGCAGCGGCGGAGCGGGGAGGGGGGGACCAGGAGAGGCGCGGGGGCGCGCGGCAGAGGGGCAGCAGCTGGGAAGCGCGTCGCTGGCTTCTGCAGCCCTCTGTCCTTCGGCTCTTCCATCCCTTCGTCCCTCAGCTCTCATTTTCTCATTCTTCTACCCCTTCTCCCTCCATCCCTCGTCCCTGCATCCCACATCCTCCCATTCGTCCCTCCTTCAACCTCCATCTTTCCATCCGTCCATCCCTCACCCCTCCATTTCTCTATCTGTTCTCCTTCATCCCTCATCCATCCGTCCCGCCATTCCTCAGCTCCTCTGCTCCCCCGGCCACGGAGCCGCGGTCCCTCCGCGGTACCCTCCCCGCATCTTCCGCTGCAGAGTGTCCCTGGAACGCCCGGGGGCCGCGGCAGGCGTGATGCTGCCCCCACGGCGAGTCAACACGACCCCCTCTCCCCTCGGGAAGGGCGACCTGCTCCTTTGAAGGGCAGAAGGTCCCCAGCCCCGCTTCCTACTCCCTCCCCCAATCTCTAAAGAAAAAGCGCTGCTAGAGCTTTCCTATCCTGTTCTTCGTTTTCTTTTTTTCTTCCTTTTTTTTTTTCTTTTTTTTTCTTTTTTTTCTTTCTTTTTTTTTTCCCCACGCGGCAGAAGGAAATAAAACGGTGCTGTGGTAGGAAAAAAAAAGGCGGTAAACAAGAGGAAAGCATATAGAGTACAATAACTATTGACTATATGAAAAACAAACCATACACTGGATTAGTTCTTAAAAGCAATCTTTCAAGCCTGCTCCTGAAACCTAAAGGACTTCTTGGATGTTTATTTATGATCAAGGCTAAGTATCTGAACATTAAAAATAAAAGAAAAAAACAGCTTAGAGTGAGTGCATTGTGTAAAGAGTAGACCTGTAAATCAAGGGAGTCAAATAAACAAGAGCACCAAAAGCTGGCTATCAACTCCTTATCCTTCCTCTGATCTCTCCCTGCATTATATAATTTTGATAAACTGCTGCGAGAACATTTGGGGAAAAGATATAGAAATGACGAGAATGTAGTGCTTTTTATGAGAGCACATTAGTAGCCTTACCTTACAAGTAGTTGCTTCCGAGGTTCATCTGTGCATTTCTTACCAACCCTCCAAGTAAACAAATTACTAAATGTTCAATGCAGACATATGATTCCCTGGTGTCAGTGTCTCTGTCCTAGACGTTTCTGAATGGCTTGCGGATTAACTTACTATGCTCTTCTGCTCTGCCTTGTACCAAGAGCCTTGCAGGTATCAACAGCTCCCACTTGTGAAGACAGGGAAGAGAGAGATTGGGTAGATTTCCACACAGCTCCACATTTCAAACTGCTGATTTGCTGAAAGTGCTGTAGTCACTGTAGGTCTGGTCTTCTAACAGGTTTACTCGGTAAGAGAGGCCTGACTCAAAGTTCACTGAAGACAATACGAATATTTCTGTAACCATGATGGGAATTGGTTCAAAACACTATTCACTCGCTGTTGGCATGAAGGTATTTCCAAGTACCACTATTCTAGTAAAAGCTAGTAGAAGCTAGTAAGAACTCCGCAGAAACAAGAAAAAATACTCCCTAGGAACAAGAAAAATTACTAAAATGTGCATCTTTTTCATAAAATTATTGAGAGAAGGTCAGGGACCTGTCTCCATTTCCCTGCAACTATTGGCAAAAATATGTACAGCAAGGCAGGTTACAGCCCCTGGCTAGAGAATGTCCTGTGGTCTCTGTAGCCACAATCAAGCTACCAAATACAGTAGGAAAGGGAAGGGATATTACAGGTCCATTTTTGAACATCTGCAAAACCAGTAGGAGAACTCGGTGTTTCATTTTGAGCCATTACTGCTTGCAAGGAAACTCGACAATTTAATTTTCCATGTTTTTCTCTTCTCTGGTCACAGTCCTTGAATTAGATCTGAGCAGCCATTTAAGATGGAAGTAGTCAGGGAAAGGAAGGGAAACTGGGCGGTGGGAAAGGTTTGGGCTCTGTATAGGTAATGACATCAACCTATCTGGTGTGAGTGGCAAAGAAATTGGCTTCTATTTTTTTAACATAGTTAATGCAGGGATTTAGTATATGTAATGTAGTTTTTAACATAGTTAATTTTTTAGTTGTTCCTCTCTTGCACTGTAGTTCGTAGTACCTGGCTCCATCAGGAGCAACTGAGCTCAATCTAATAGTAGCCTGGTAGTTAGAATGAGAAATGAGAGACTGAATGTAAACACTTTTTCTCTGAGATTCAGAATAGGAAGTGAACCATTGAGGTCCTGTCTTTTCTCAGATGAATGACTTTAGCTTTCCTAGTTTTGACTACAAGTTTAGTCTGCATTAAAGCAAGCTCATACATGCCCACAGAACTGTTTTTTTACCAAAATTATTTTGTTGGAAATTGATCAGTTCTTCAGAAAATTCCAGGGCTTGCTTCAGATTCTTGCATGCTCTTTATATATATGTGCAAGTATTTATGTTTATGTACAAGGATTTATCTGTTTCTAAATTATAGCAGCATTTTCCTTATGGAGAATACAAATATTAACCCTTAAATTTTAAAGTCATTGTACTGAACTGGTTTATTCTTAGATATGAGGTTTCATCTCATCTATAAAACCTTTGTAATATCAGTAAACATTTTTTTTCTCATTGAAGAGAAAATGTAAGCCTTTTGTGATTATGCCATTCCTATATAAACTATCTTTGCAAAAGTTGGTTGCTGAGCTTGCCACCTTAGACTGGAAATATGCTTATGATGTTTTCTGAAGGTTCCAAAATATTTTCTGAGAGCACAGTAATAGGTTTTACTCACATAATGGAAAACATGTGGCTATTAATAGGTATTTTAAAAGTAAAAAGCATGATACTATAAAGATCAAAAGAAACAGAACAAAATTACAAAAAATAAACCAAAAGAAACGATCTTCTGCCCAAGCAGTTCCCCATCTCCAAAAGTAGATATTTATCAAAATCATGTAAAAAAAGACAAATATTTTTTACCTAACAAGATCTGAATATTTATGTGAGACTTTTTAAAAGTAACATTTAAGCACTTACTAAAAACTTACATTCAGTACTGAAATGCGTGCCCTTCCACTGATGTTGTTTCCATAAACTTAGTCCCACCAGTGTTTGCAGGGGCAGGACTTCTCTTTTCATCTGCATTCATTTTGGAGGACTCAAAATCTGTGCATTTCACTATTTGTAATTGATTGTTGGCTTGGGGGTTAAGTGCATCATTTAAAAATCTATCATCCTTTGACTTACTGTTCTTGACATTCATTAGTTATGTCTTGCCTTAAACTTGGCACTATTTTTGCAGCTGGACTGCCTAATACCAGTACCTGGAGCTGTGCATTCAGCCTTAATGACCTTGATGAGAGCAGTGGCTTGATTAAGTTTGCAAAGTTCTGGGACAAGAAGTAGTTGATGGGCACTGTGTTGTAAAATGAGAACTGAATCCTGGCTAAGGCCTTCGGTATGATTAAGTTTGAAAAATAACACAAAATGTTAATAGTTTTTGAATTTGAAATAGAACTGTATGCTTTCAGTTTTTACTTTGCAATAGATTGAACACGTTTAAGTCTGATACCTGAGTGATTTAAGTCTCTGTTCTAAGGCACATTTTTACTATCTACTAATGTGTTTATTTTAGACAAAATAAAATAAATCACTTAATAAAATATTTTCCATATGGAAATGTAGATAGTGAGCTTTATTACAGGTTTTTTTATTAATAGAAGATTTTGCTTGGTCTATATGTTTTATCAAGGATATATAAAGATTAAGTGAGAATAAGTAATATACGGTGAACTAGGGTGGTATGGGGATTGGTTTTGTTTTTTGTTTGGGGTTTTTTTGTGTGTATGTGTACAGTAGCATTTTTATTGAGTAAGACTTTTTGCTAAACAGTAGTTTCACATTACATAGGATAATCAGATTTAAAATTTAGAATTAAATGCCTTTTCACTATGACTCATAGGACTGCTCCTGAAAACATGTTTTGCTCCAGCAGGCCAAAATAAAGTAAGGACTTCATTCTTGAATCCAGACTCGTCTGGGGTACCACTGTCTTTAAAGGGACACGGTTGCTACATCCAAGCCTCGAGCCCCACTGAGCCCAAAGGATGACTGTGAAAAGTACAACTTGTCTTGTTAAGATTTCCTGTCATGAATTTCTTAACAAATTTGATCATCTTCTCTTACCAAATGCAAGGAACTTTGCAGGCAAGCTTATATCAGCAGGTGAAAAAGGAAAGTGTGAGAGAAGAAATGAAATACAGTTATCCCTTTTCCATTACAGGAGCAACTCAGGAGAGGGAAGATATCATCAGAAACCAAACATATAGAGACTGGTATAACTTTCTTCCCATTTTAATCAAATGTAAAAGGGACAAATAATTGAACAAGGGAACTTCAATATACTTACAGATTCTCATAATATGCAGTAAATCTTTACAGTTCTACTCTCCAAGGAGATTCTTGAGTAAATAATAATGACTTTGGCCTCTTGGATAAATGAAGATGGATGTACTGAGGAAAATCTAATTATAGATTTCTTCTGCCTTTTTCCTGCCTTGACTCTTATTTCGTGCACCAGTACTATATTATTGATATTTCATATATATATATATTTATATATGTACATATATATATGTTTCAGTTAATGCAGGGAAAAAAAGAGCACAAAACCATCAAGAGATTTGTTTCTTTATTAATTCAGTAATAAATCTGGTGGTTTTGGAACAAAGAATCTACCAATTTCTTCAAACATTACCTACCAAGTCAATACAGCTACACTGCAAACTAACTCTAGTCTGTTCTGTGTGTCATCAACAGAATTCTTCACTAAGGGCCATGTCTTCACTAGGTATGATCTAAAGTTATTCCTACAGTAGCGTACCATAGCAGTAACCGTTTCCAAATAAGGATGCAGCTTATCTTGTGAAATCTATATATTGCATTCTTTATTTGACTGCCTCTGAATTAAACAAGCTAAACAGCTGAACAGATTTAACAGATAAAAGCTCTGGGTTGTTGTTGTGGGTGGTTTTGTTTAGCTTTTCTTTTTTAAATGCAAGTATGCTTATAACAGGAGCTTCTGTAAGACATTTTCATGTCAGCGGATCACAAAGCTATGCTCACAGAAGTCTACAATGTAGGCATAAGCTCAATTTCAGATTGATTCAGGTGGCAGAATATGGAAACTGTTGTTCAGTGCATTACTGGAAGAAATTATCCCAGCTCTCAGCTGTTCTGGCCATTTTTACTGCTAATATTGAGGGGAATATAAATACACCTTTTCCATGTTAGAGCACAGTCTGGTAGAGTCTGTAGGCTCTGCAGAGCCTACAGTTAGAAAAATGAACATGTTTTCTATTTGAAACATAGCATTAATTATGGAATGCTTTGGGTTGGAAGGGACCTTAAAGATCATCTAGTTGCAACCCTCCCTGTCCTGAGCAGGGACATTTTCCACTAGACCAGGCTGATCTGTATATGTGTGGTCAAACTAATGGAGAGAAGCAAAAGCACTAAACTCCACAGTGACTCATTTTACAGTGTCCTTGCAGGGACATATTAAGCTTTAAAAGTCTTTTCACCCATGTGAATGTTAATCCTCTGTTCTCTCAAAGTGTTTTTCTTCAGTATTTGTTACAACTGTTAATGATTAATTATAGATCTAACCTTTCTTTTACATTCTTCTCCAAGGTTTCTGGCTTCAGTCATTTGTCTGAAAGGACCATAACATGTTTGAAGTCACAAACCATCTTTTTGTTCTCACACTTTGGACTATATAGGACAACAGAGTCATGGTCCACCAGTATGGTTCCCAATAGTAGCCAGTAATAATGGTAATGCATCAGCTCTAAATCCTGTAATCACATAGGCTAGACAGCTGGGAGATGTGGAAAGCCTCAAATTCATTTGATGTTAGGAAAATGTGCAATGGAGTGGGAAGCAACCATGAAAAGTTTGTGTATGCAGACAAGTCAGAGTTAGTAGCCCACAGAGGGATTTGAGAAGCTGTCTTTGTGTTGACTGCAGGAGATGTGGTGAAAAAGAACACTTAGTGCTTTGTAAACTTTCACTTCAAGTATGCATACTGTCAAAGGTTTTCATGACAGTTAATGGTAAGTTAATGTTTAAATATTGTTTGCAAGTTTGCAGAGCAAGTAGGAGAGTATTTTGAATTGTTTATGCTGGTTTAAGTTAAATATGTAAAATCACTCATATACTTTATGAATCATTAGAGAAACAGTAGTGACAA